TTCTGCTGCATGTGCCTTGCGGTATGGACATCAAGAATGAACAACTAAAGAAGCTTGGTGTGACCAACGCAAGCGAAGTCGCGTTTGAGCTAAAGAAGAGCCTGTTTGGACTGAAGCAGGCAACACGATTATGGAGTCAATTGCTACACGCAAGACACACTGACGCAGATTTCAAGCAATGTATCAGCGACATGTTCCTGTGCTTCAAACGTGAGGAAGAAGTCTTGGCAGTGGTCGGCGTCTACGTCGACGATCTCTATGTTACAGCAACAAGAGCTGCAGCGGTTGAGCAATTTTTCGTGTCGATGGCGTCGCTATCGACCAAGAATCTTGGACCAGTGTCGAAGTATCTCGGTATAAGAGCGACGGCACCCGACAAGCACGCATATGTCCTTGATCAGGAGGAGGCTATTGGCAAACTGTTGCGTGAGCACGGCATGGGTTCGGCCAACCCCACGCGGACGCCTATTGGTGACGATTGCTACGAAGAAGTCACGCCAGTTAATGCGCTGCTGCAGGAAAACCCAGAATCCGGGTCACTACGTATTCGTTCGTTTCAGTCGCTGGTCGGCAGTTTGCTATGGATTGCACGATACGCGCGTCCAGACATTGCGTTTGCGGTCCACAAAGCCACGCGCCAGACACATGCACCGCGCGTACGAATCTGGAAACTCGCAAAGAGTATAGCGCGCTATCCTAGTGGCAGCAAGGTGATGCGGCTTGAAATGCGCACTAACACCGACCGCAACGAACAAATAACGCTCGAGTTTTACAGTGATGCCGACTTTGCTGCCGACAAGGGAGATTGAAAATCGCTCACTGGTGCCATCGTTTGCTAAATGAGATGCTTGTAAGCTGGGCAGCCAAGATACGAGGTGACGTCTCTCTCTCGACAATGGAGACCGAATTTGTCGCGGCATCTGATACGGCACGCGAGCTTCTTGGTGTTCAAGAGATCATTAAAGAGGTGGGGCTTGCACCGACTCAGTCTATGTCAATGCATGTGGATAACCAGGCCACAATTTGCCAGATCGAAGGAGAGACTTCGTCTCTAAAAGCTAAACACATCGACGTACGCCTCAAGTTTGTTTAGGATTTTGCTCGTCGCGGCGTCGTTGAAATGCGCTACGTCCGGTCCGAGCTTATGCTTGCGGATATACTGACAAAGGCGTTAGACCAGCACAAGCTTGCAGAGCTGCGAGCGCTCGTGGTTTGCGCTAGTTATGGCGGCGGAGACACGATCGCGAGGAGGTGTGTTAGAAGAACGGCTTAAAGCATACGTTGCGCGATCGAATATCCAGACCATAGGACGACGTGATTGCGCACACGATGACGCGACATGATTGCGCCCAGA